ACCTACTACAGGACAGGCCCAACAAGGACAATAACAGAACACCACTGGCCATCACATACAGCCCCCATCTAAAACCTCTCCAGCGCATTATCCACGATCTACAACCTATCCTGGAAAATGATCCCTCACTCTCACAGACCTTGGGAGGCAGACCAGTCCTCGCTTACAGACAACCCTCCAACCTGAAGCAAATATTCACCAGCAACTACACACCACACCACAGAAACACCAACCCAGGAACCAATCCCTGTAGCAAACCTCATTGCCTACTCTGTTCCCATATCTACTCTGGCGACACCATCTGAGGACCCAACCACATCAGCCACACCATCAAGGGTTCATTCACCTGCACATCCACTAATGTTATATATACCATCATGTGCCAGCAATGCCGCTCTGCCATGTACATTGGCCAAACCGGACAGTCCCTCCGCAAAAGAATAAATGGACACAAATCGGACATCAGGAATGGTAACATACACAAGCCAGTAAGTGAACACTTCAATCTCCCTGGTCATTCTATTACAGATTTAAAAGTCACTATCATTGAACAAAAAAACTTCAGAAACAGACTTCAAAGAGAAACAGCAGAACTAAAATTCATTTGAAAATTTAACACCATTAATCTGGGCTTGAATAGGGACTGGGAGTGGCTGGCTCATTACAGAAGCAGCTTTTCCTCTCCTGGAATTGACACCTCCTCATCTATTATTGGGAGTCGACTACATCCACCCTGATTGAATTGGCCCTGTCAACCCTGGTTCTCCACTTGCGAAGTAACTCCCTGCTCTCCATGTGTCAGTATATAATGCCTGCATCTGTAACTTTCACTCTATGCATCTGAAGAAGTGAGGTTTTTACCCACGAAAGCTTATGCCCAAATAAATCTGTTAGTCTTTAAGGTGCCACCAGACTCCTTGTTGTTTTTGCAGATACAGACTAACACGGCTACCCCCTGATACTTGCAGCGCAGGGAGTCCCCCTGCACCCTGGCTCCGGCCGCCCCGCAGGTTTTTTTTTTTTCCCTGCTTTGCCGCTCCGACCACGCCGCAGTTTGTTTGTTTTTTTGCTTTGCCATTCTGGCCGCCCCGGTTTTTGGGGGTTTTTTTGCTTGGGGCGGCAAAAAAGCCAGAGCTGGCCCTGGCCAAGACACTGGTTAACTTGGAAGATACTCTAAAAGAGCAGTTAAAGTTACAAAGTAAAACATATGTAAAGTAACTCACAATATATTTATCCATCCCATCCCCACTAGCACTCTACCTTCAGATTACAGCAGGGATAAAAAGACCTTGAATGTCTTTGCTTTGTATCATTTAGATGCTTTATTCAGTTATTAAACTCATTAGTAAAGTTATCTGCCAATGATGTGTCAGCACCAATTGTTTGTGTGCTGACTCCTTTGCAGATAAGCATTTTAACACGCAACAGCCTGCTTGCTGTAAAAACACCCATGGGAAAGGAGGGCTGGAGAACTGGACAGCATGGTGACAAATAGTGTAATCCCTACTCAAGCAAATTCCCCTTGACTTCAATTAGAGCTTTGACTGAGTAAGAACTGAATAAGGACCACAGGATTTGGCCTGATATTTCTCCTGCATTTATAGGGCCAAATTCAGCCATTGATACAAATATAATACTTCCTTTGAAGACAATAGGAGCTGAGCACCCTAATCTAAAGATTGAAGTTAGTTGTGCATTTACATTTTTCCGTACTTTTGAGGAAAGTCCTGCCATCAGTTTGCACACAATATTTCAGTTGCCTTCAATGGCAGAATATGGCCCTTTATATTATTTACACTTTACTACAGTTTCTCCTCCACACATCTCCTCTGTGACAGAGTGCTAAGAACCAGCAGCTGAACTAGCACTCTGGTCACTATAAATCCAATTAGTTCCCCTGACAAGGGCCTGACTGAGGGAAGGGACGGCTAATTACTAGATCAGCCTGGACTGGGGAAGAGCTAAGGAGCGAATTTGCCCATTAACTGCAAGCGTAGAAAAGAAGCACAGGAAAGCCGTGCAAGGGAGAAGATGAGAGTGAGAGAGAGAGAGAGAGAGAAAAGCCAACCAACCAACCAACCAGGCCAGAGTAAACGGAGATCTCTGCGTGGAGACATCTCTTCCCCCTCTCATGTTTGTATAATACTGTAAATAAGAATTGTTGCACTGGACTGTCAGAGGATGGTGGTTAATAACACACAAATAAAGTACACAGAAGTGGTTATAGACCAGAGATGTCAGAGCCATTTATATGAGGAGGCAAGAACTGAGGGCTGTGCCCTGTCACAAGTGGGGACTTGTCCAGGAGTTGCCTTATCTGTACTGACAGAGAACCTGATGGGGGAGCCAGTGCAAAGGTTCAGCAGTCTGGGCAATGGAAGAGACATTGCAATAGCTCGTAGAACAGCAGAAGGAGATACAGAAGACCCTGTAGAGAAGACCCTCCAACACCTGGAGAAACAGTGAGTGGTTGCTTGTCTGGCAGGCTGAGCAACAGAAAAACCTACACAATTTTATTCGAGAGTAAGCCCATATGCAGCAGCAGCAGCAGCTAATGTGATCCTTCAGTGGGGAACAGCAACCAGACACAGGTGATAGGCGTCTGTAAGATGGGCCCTGCAAATGATCCTAACGCATTCTTGGTCAAGCTCAGGCAACCTATACGGCTGTAAAGCCAGGTCTACACTACAGACCTGAATCAGTATAACTACTTCACTCAGGGGTGTGAAAAATCCACTCCCCTGAGCAACATAGTTATACCAGCCTAACCCCCCATGTAGACAGCTCTATGTTGGTGGGAGAGCTTCTCCTGTCAACATAGCCCCTGCCTCTTGGGGAGGTGGATTAACTATGCTGATGGGAGAAGCTCTCCCATGGGGGTAGGAGCATTTTCACTTAAACACTACAGTGGCCCAGCTGCATCAGTGCAGCTGTGTCGATGAAGGGTTTTAAGTGTAGACCTGCCCTAAGTAATGAGCGAGCATGGGACTATGATATGATTAAGGCAGTCATTCTAGATCAGGTGGACTTATCCACAGAAAAGGTCACTGCAAAAGTTTTGGGTCACTAGATGGACTGGGGGGAGGTTACAAGCCCGGGCATTTGCCCAAAAACTGACAGACTGGGCTACCAGCTGGTTGAGGCCAGACACTCAGATTGCAAGTGAGATCATGGATGCAGTAATTCTAAAACAGTTCCTGCCGAGCATCCCTGAGAACTCCTGGTTATGGGTCAGGCAGCATCTGCTGGTCATCCTCGATTCTGTGGTCAAGCTCACATAAGAGTTTGTGGAGATGGACATTCCTAGGAAAGAGGGTTGGCAGTTTAAGGGACCAGATCTGGGGAGGAGGGTTGGAGAAACCCAATCTGGAAAGGTCACAGAGAAGAGGGAAGAACCTAGGGGGACTCCAGCTGGGACTCGGGGTATTGTCTGTTGTCAGTGTGGACACCAAGGACACATAAAAAGAGGCTGCCCTTATATAGAATGTGGGTTTTCAGAGTTCTGCAGTTGGACAGGGACTCTTGGACATGGAAGGAAAAAGAAATTATCTATGGTTTCTGTAAAGGTGGGGAGAAGGTGTCAAAGGGGTCCAGTGGACACTGCCTCAGACTGTTCACTGGTAAAACAGGAATTAGTGAAGCCCACTGGATGGTCCCGGGATCAAGGCTGTGGCTTGAATGCATCCATGGGGATAAGACACTTTGCCTTATGGCTGATGCACCCCTGGAAGTGCAGGGAAAGCTTAAATGGAAACGGGCTGGGGTAGTGGACACGCTGTCCCACCCCATCATAGGAGCCATGGACTGCAGCTCCTCCCACTAGGGAGGAGAAGGAATAAAACATTCGGGGAAGCAAAAGGAGAAGCTAGACTTAGAGGGGTTGGAAAACACTAGACAAAGGAACACAAGCCAGGGGGACAGTAAAGAAAAGGGAGGCCTCCTAAAGAAAGAGTCGGAGAAAGAAGAAAACACAGAATTAGCCTTGTGGAATAAGGAGAACCCGAACTTATTGACAGGGGTTGAGCAGTTATTGGAATCCCCCTCACCCGAACATCAGGAGGAGGACTCCAGGAGAGTAGCACCTCCACTAAAAGAATGGAGAACCCATGGAAGGAGAAATTTTTCCACCAGAAAAGGGGGAAAGGTGTGACAGAGTGCTGAGAACCAGCAGCTGAATCAGCACTCTGGTCACTGTAAATCTAATTAGTTCCCCAGGAGAGTGATTAAGGGGTTTCTTGCACATATCATTAACAGTAATCAGTTCTGACAAAGGGAAGTTGAGCATACAAATTCACAGTGTGACGCCACTGAAATCAATGGAGCTGTGTCAATTTATGCCAGGAGTGAATTTACCCCTTAAACTAAAACTTCATGGCAAGGAAGAAGAAAAAAAGGCATGAACTGTGAATCAGAAAGCCTTAAACACCAGTAACTCTCAATGTTTAATTCTTGCAAATGAGATATTCACAACTATATTAACAATTTTTATTTCATTAAAGTGACTCATAAATCTTACTAGGATAAAATATGTATATGCTCTTTCGGGGTAAGCATATGATAATTTCAAGTGAGTTCCTTTGGGATAACAGGATGTACATCAAATCTCTGACACTGTCAATAGTACATACCCAGCAGCTTTAAGATCAAGGGCTAGATGGTTGCCCAGAGTAGTGGGGAGAAAGACCCTGTCCCCCAAGTGCCTGTGCAACTCAATAAACCTGCATGGACTGCAGCTCTGGGAGCTGGGATGGGGAAGAAAGCAGGACCTATGCTCCTGATACCCCTTTCCCTCCCTACAAGTAAGTGGGTAGGGAGGGGATAGGACAAGAAAGGGCCATGGTTCCATCCCTCCTATGCATCAGCCAGTACAGCTGGATAGATGCATCCCGTGTGTGTGGCTGTGTGAGTGTAGGGAATGGGCAGGTGGAGTATGATGCACCCTGTAAAAGGCTGTAGCAAATTACTCCTCTAAGAGTGTGAGGGGGGAACACTGGAGATACTGTGCATCAGACAACCCTCTGAGGCACTGTGCATCTGGGCCTGGTCCACACTAACCCCCCACTTTGAACTAAGATACGCAACTTCAGCTACGTGAATAACGTAGCTGAAGTCGAAGTACCTTAGTTCGAACTTACCGCGGGTCCAGACGCGGCAGGCAGGCTCCCCCGTCGATGCCGCGTACTCCTCTCGCAGAGCAGGAGTACCGGTGTCGACGGCGAGCACTTCCGGGATCAATCCAGGATCGATTTATCGTTTCTAGACAAGACGCAATAAATCAAACCCAGAAGATCGATTGCTTACCGCCAGACTGTGTCAAACGCCACAGTCTAGGCCTAAGTGAAGGTGGCCGAGAAGGCAATGCCAGATTCAGGCTGCATTTGTCTTGTGGACAATATGGGGATTTCAGTTTAAAATCCTGCTGCTTATAAAACCTAAAAGTCGACAATCTGTACGTACATGAAGCTGATTTAATTGAGCTTTGCCTGCTTCTGCATGATGGTGCTCTGCCTGGTGTAGACTGTGGTCTTGCAGTAAATATGATTCCATGAGAGTAGGGGCGTAATCCACTGAAGTCTTCTGCACTCACCACTCTGGCCATGGTCCCTTGGGAATTTAAAAACACAATTATGACACTACTTTAGAACCTATGACACAAAAGGAAGCAATCTGACTGGTGGCAGTATCGAGAAGCATAAACGTTGACTTAATTAAAAGAGGCCCAAGTTGCTGTTGAAGATTCTGGCTGACAGAGAACCAAATCTGACCACACAGATGTGGGACTCTTTTAAACTGTTAAAGTACGTCCTATGAAGGCACTTTCAAATCTGTGTTTCAAAGCAGAAGATATAAATAGACTAAATCATGCCTTAAATAATAAATAATTAGCTATCTGAATTTTTTAAATGGCATTAAGCTATCTTGAAGGTTATGTTTATTAAAAGACTTTAAAAATAAAAACATTTGCTTGTTTCTTTTTAGCTCTTTTCTAGACCATCCCCACTAATTGTCCAGACTGTACAGAAGCAATTTTTGGCTGGTATCCTGCCTCTATAGCCATCAATAAAAGAAAAATTAGCCCCAAGCAAAACATTGCTTCTTTCTTCACCCTTCAGGTGGAAAATATCTTTCCTCTGCATTTGCTCCAAGGCCTAACGTCACCACCTGAGCAACCAAATGTCTGAGACACTTTCAGCAGCTGCCATGAAATCTCCACTCCTTTAAACTGTAGATAAGTAGGGTCTAGTTCCCAGGAGGTCATGGAGCTCAATAAACACACCCCTAAACTGCAAGATCTATTTTGCCACAAATACTAGCAGGCAATTAAAGTACTTGGAGAAAACAAATGTGAACCCACTTTAGGATTGCCAACTTTGGTTGGACAAATTCCTGGAGATTTCATCACATGACATAATCTTTAATTCATGGAGACTCCAGGACAATCCTGGATGGCTGGCAACCCTAACCCACTCATATTTCTGTCTCAGGCACCATCAAGACATACCTCTGGCTTGTGGGATGTGATGATAAAAAGAGTATGACAGCTATCTATAGTCTGCCCAAGACAGAGGGAAATTTGTGTACTCAGCAACACTGCTCTGCCCTTTTGCCTTGTTACCAAAGATATATATCAATCAATTTGCTAGCAAATGGACTGTTCAAACAACAGTGGCAGAAATAACTGTATGTGCTGCTATCTAGGTTCAGACAAAGAAGTAGTAACTATTGGCACAATCCTGTTCCCAGCTAAGTCAACTTCATAACTGTCGAATCAGTGCCAGAAGATGTGAAAATAGGAAATATTAACCCTCTGAAAATGGTGGAATCGCTAAAGTAAAGTGATGGTGCAGATCTATTGATAGAATGAACACCTGAAGAGCAAGCTGAAAAACTTCTTAAAACTATAGCCTTAGGGAAAACGGAAGTTACTTGTGAGCTGCCTCTATTCCTGATAGAAGCCAGAGGGGCTATGTATGGAGTACCAATAAGATTCTCTGTGGATGACAGTAAGAAGAATATAGATTAAGATAAACTATTGTTTGTTAAACAGCTACTTATAGAAGAGAGGGAGAAAACTAGCCATCCATGGTGGTAGGCATATCACTTAAAAGTGGGACACTTCTGGATAGGATCCAAATAGGGTATCAATTCTTTCTGGGTTAAACCATATATTCCCTGTTCTGCCACCCTCCTGTGAGTGCTATAATTGTCAAAGGTTTGGACACGTGGCAGTCATTTGTAAGGGAACAATGAGATGCAGTAAATGTGGAGGAAATCACTCACATGAGAACTGTGTAGAAGGAACAGAATCTAAATGCAGCAATTGTGGGGGGAAAGCATAGTGCAACATATAAATGACATGCAGCAGCAGAACGAGCTACAGAAATACAAAAGATTAAAATAATTCAAAAAACATCATATATGGAGGCTATCAGAAGGTACCCACTGCAGAAAATAGAAAAATATTCAAGATGTACGGGGGCAGCAGAACATATCTCTGGCCAGGGAGGAGAATATGAGAAGAATGGGAGGTGATGTATTACTTGTAGATAAAGAGAAGTTTTGTGCTCATTACAGAAATAATTGACAGCAGCATGCAGATGGGGGGGGGGAAATAAAAGGATTAAAATCATAGCTAAAACAGCAGAAAAATATCTAAAAATAGACAACCTCTTGATACCTTGAACCTCTTTATAGACTGCATTCATGTGATTTTACATGAAGGAATAATACAGTTTAAATAATACGGTCGTAACTATTCTTAGCTGGAATGTGCATAGTTTAATAATGCAGGGACAGGAATTTAAGAAAGCCATAATTGAAATGGGAAAAAAGCCTGATATGTATGTATGCAAGAAACATGGCTAATAAGTAAATTTGAGTCAATTTACAAGGATCTGATCTCTAGAGGGATCGAGAGGCTACCACTGAAGGGGGGGTTCTGTATATTTACAAATGAGGGACTCAGTTACATAGAAATGAATGTGCAGAAACTAAATTTTGAATATAATGCTATTGAGATTCCCATGCAGAACAAAAATTCTTATATACAGATTTATAATGTTTATAATCCATGTAAAATTAGTTTTTTTAGAATTAGAAAAACTAGTTAATAATGTCAAAAACCCAATCATAATTTACAGAGTTTATTAGTCATAATGAGCTATAGAGAAGTAAGAAAACTGACCTAAATGTTAAATGCGCAGAACAATTTAGTGGTTTGCATAACCTGGTAATATTGAATACAGGAGCACCTACTAGATTTAATTCAGTGAATGGATCCTTTTCTGTTTTGGATTTGTTAATTGCAACAAATAATATAGCCAATAAATGCAACTGGAAATTCATAAAGACGACAGAATGGGAAGTGATCACTTCCCTATGCTTATTGAATACCAAGGCCGAGGAAATGTCGAAAACACAGAAAGAGTTCCTAGATGGAATTTTCAAAAAGCTGACTGGGGCCTTTTCAAGATTGAATGTGATGAATATTTATGTAGTAACTGTACAAGTGACAACCTAGGAGAGTTCTACAACAACGTAATAAAAGGAATTACAACAGACGCTGATCTGGCCATCTACAAAACATCAAATTGCCCCTGACTTAGAAATCCAGTTCCCTGGTGGAATGAAGTTTGCAAATTAGCAATTAAGGAAACAAATAAGGCTTACAAGCAAGCAAAAACACACAATGAATAGTAAAGACTTAACAAATTATAAATAAATTGTAAGGCAGTGGCACAAAGGATTGTCAAAAAGGAAAAAAAAGAAAGTTGGAGACATTTCTGTGGGAAATTGAACAAAGATTTAAAGCTTTCAAAAATAGATAAGTAAATTCAAAGAATGAATGGAATTTGAAGTAAAAGTAAATGTATACCTGGTCTTATTGTTAAATTGAGGTCCCAAGCTTAGGAAAGGAAGGCAGACATTTTAGCAAAAGAATTCCAAAAGGTCAGTAATGATACAAATCAAAACAATGAGTTTCATGAGAAAAAAGGAGATTTATTGAGGAAAACTATGAACTATTAAATGGCTGGAGAGAATATACTGATGATGTGCTAACCAAAAAATGTAGTGTGCAGGAGCTTATTGCAGTCATTAGAAAAATGAAAAATACAGCTCCAGGCAAAGATAATATAAGTAATGAAATGTTTCGACACTTATCAGAGGGAGTCCAAAGATTCTATTGAGGTTATATAACGGTATATGGGAGAAAGGACTGCTACAAATAGAATGGAAACAAGCATTGGTGATACCAATTAGGAAACCAAGCAAGGTAGTGGAATACTTGGAGAAAAATGATATTATAACTGAGGTACAAAGTGGTTTCAGAAAAGAAAAGTGCACAGTTGACCATAGAGTGAGACTAGAAATGGAGGTACAAAAAAGCATAAGGACTAAAATCTTCATGATAACAGTCTTCGGGGAAAGTGAAAGAGCATATGATATGCTATGAAGGGAAGGCCTCCTATACAAACTAGCCAAAATTGCAATAAACAGGAGAATTTTTTAGTGGATAAGGGATTTTTTAAGGGACTACAGGTCAAAGTGGGAACAAATTTATCAAATACGTACAAGCTTACAAATGGAACTCCACAAAGAAGTTTTATTCCCTCTACTTTGTTTTCCATTATGATAAATGACCTCCCGGAAAGTGTACAGATGGGAATAGGTATTTCCCTTTTCACAGATGATTGTGCTATATGGACTAAGCACAAAAGTCTTAAAGTAGTCATGGAAAAGACAAATGAGGCACTGTAGAGAATTTCCAAGTGGGGAAATGAGTGGGGATTTAAATTCTCTCTTGCAAAAACTAAGGGTATTTCTACTCTGCAATTAAACACCCACAGGTGACCCATGTCAGCTGACTCAGGCTCACAGGGCTCAGGTTATATGGCTATAAAATTGCAGTGTAGACATCTGGACTTGGGCTGGAGCCCAAGCTCTGGGATCCTGCAAGGAGGGGAAGATCTCAGAGCCTAGGCTCCAGTCCAAGTCCAAACATGTACACTGCACTTTCACAGCCCCGCAGCCCGAGCTCCACGAGCCCAAGTCAGCCGACATGGGCCAGCTGCGGGTGTTTAACTACAGTGTAGACATACCCTATGGGAATGGGTTTCACAAGAAAGAAAATTAGGGATGACTGGACTTATTTCTTTATGGTGAAAAAATTTAGATAGTTCAAAAGTTTGTTCCTAGAAGTAGTGTGCGATAATAAAATTCACTTGGGAAGGTCACATAGGTAGTATACAAAAGTGGAAACGTAGGATGAATGTACTTAAAAGTGTAGTTGGAAACAAATGGGGTGCAGATAGAAGGTATCGATGACAATGTATAGAGCATTGATACAGTTTTAGATTACAGATACCAAGCTTTGGAATCAGCCTCAAATGCAGGCCCAAGCTCAGTGACTGGCATGTGGTACAATGATAACAACAACAGTGTGTGCTCTGCAAATAGCCACTGGAGAAGCACCTATAAATCGAAGGATGAAACTATTAGAGCTAACATTTTGGGCAAAGGTAAAAGGGAATCATGAAAACAGAAGTTCACAACAGATTTATAAGGATTTCCGGGAGTTTAGTAGACAAAATTATATGGATTGTCACAGACTTTCTCATATTATCAGGGTCAAAAAATGAGTAAAGGAGATATAT